TGACCGAAACCCATTTACAAAGCAGCAAGCTGCTCTCCTGACCCAAGATGGTGCTAGCTTTCTGCATATTGAAATCAAACTGTATAACAAAGCTGAATGAAGCACCCCCAGAAAAAAAAAAGGGACTCTGGACCAAGCAAGCATGTCTACAACACGTCTAAAGGTTTCTTTGTCCCCTCTGGGGAATGTTATTAAAAAACATGACAATTGCCTTACTCCTTCTCGCTGCAGTGGTATGAATATAGGAAGAGAACACAAACAGGCAGTAACTAACACACACACGCACCTAGTGTGTGTAAGTAAGAAAGCGGCAGGAAATGTTTAATGCTGAACACACCCAATATTATAGATTATGGAAGTAGAGTTTCTTTAAAAAAAAAAACTCCCAAGATGTATAAAGAAAAACATAAACACCCAAAGAGAGTAAGAAGAAAGTTGATCAGTAAACAGTTATTAAACATACTGGTTAATAATTTAATTACTGTAATTCCTAAAACAATCCCTAGCATTGTCTTAGTTGAACAGGCTATTGAAAATAAAAATAAAAAGATGTTCGCCAGGCACAGTGGCTCATGCCTATAATCCTACCACTTTGGGAGGCCAAGACAGGAAGATAGTTTGAGGCCAGGAGTTTGAGACCAACCCAGGCAACAAAGTGAGACCTGCGTGCCTATATTTTTTTAATTAAAATTTTAAAAAGATATAAGTTGTTGAGATAATCATATCTACATGACCTTGAGGCTGTACATTTGACCTTTGAGTTAATAACAATAATGTACTAAGCAACTATGTGCCAAGCACTTTCACACTGTTTTCATCTAATCTTTACAAAAACTGTAAGAAATATTTATTTCCATATTACCCATGAGAAAAATGAGGTTCAGAGGAGGGAAGGAACCTGTCCCATGTCACCACTTGCCCAATGTCACTTATTAGGTGGAATCTGAACCATACTACCTGGCTCCAAATCTAGCCTTTCCTCTTACCATAGATGATGTATTCATTTATTCAACATATTCACACCAAAGACCTATTTGCCAGGTACTCTACTAGAAATGGAGACTATAAGAATAGACTTGGCCCCCGCCCCAAAAGTTTAATGTCCAATAGGGATAATAATCAAATAATCACAAATAAATGTGTAGCTCAAAGAAGTTTGACAGAAATACTCTATAATTTTCCCAGTTGAATTAAGATGAAGTGTTTTACCTTAGACTCAAAGTATCACAGAGTATACAATATGAGATTAGTTATCTTTCAGAATTGTTTTAGCACATTCAAGCATGAGTCTCATTAGACCAAAAAGAAAAATAAATCAGACTCATGCTTTATCACCCACAGTGGTAGGATTACAGGCATCCCCACATCAGAAACTGCTCAGAAGAGATGATAACCAATTATCTGAGCTTATTTAGGAAAAGATTTGTGAATGTACACACCATCTAAAATATTCCTTTAGCTATCATGTTCTACCTTCTCTCTCATCCTGTCAGACGTTTATCTTACAGCTTTAGAATAAATGGTTTTCTGGTGGAAGACAACTCGGTTCTGTAACAAAAAGCACCTGGCAAATGGGTCTTTGGTATGAATATGTTGAGTAAATGAATACACAAAGTAAAATGGAAAAGAAAACAAATTCAGAAGGAAAAGAATCAGGAAAAAAGAATAACTACAGAATCACAGATATCTGGTCTTAGGTATATTAGAGTCTTCTAATTCATAAATTAACACACTAGCCAAGAGTCAAGGAAGAAGTGAAAAGCAGATTAAGAATGAAGTGTCAGCCAGGCAGGGCAGCTCACACCTATAATTCCACCATTTTGGGAGGCCAAGGCGGGCGGATCAACTGAGGTCAGGAGTTTGAGACCAGCCTGGCCAACATGGTGAAACCCCATTCTCCACTAAAACTACAAAAATTAGCCAGGCATGGTGGCAGATGCCTGTAATCCTAGCTACTCGGGAAGCTGAGGCAGGTGAATCACTTGAACCTGGGAGGCGGAGGTTGCAGTGAGCCTAGATCGTACCGTTGTACTCCAGCCTGGGTGACAAGAGCGAGACTCCATCTCAAAAAATAAATAAATAAATAAATACATAAGTAAATAAATAAATAAATAGAATGAAGTGTCGGGCCAGGCACAGTGGCTCACGCCTGTAATCCCCGCACTTTGCGAGGACAAGGCAGCATGGATTGCTTGAGGCCAGAAGTTTAAGACCAACCTGGGCAATAAGGTGAAACCCCTTCTCTACAGAAAATACAAAAAATTAGCCAGGTGTGGTGGTGCCCACCTGTATTCCCAGCTATGTGGGAGGCTGAGGCAGGAGAATCACCTTAGCCCAGGGAGGTCGAGGCTGCGGTGAGCTGAGATCACACCACTGCACTCCAGCCTGGGTGACAAGAGTGAGAACCTATCTCAAAATGAAAAAGAAAAAAAAAAGTGACGTGTCAATTAAACACAATCAAGTTCATTCTAGCTTTCAACCAAAGACAGACTGCAAAACTTGTGTTGACAGAGGCACACTTTAAATGTGAGGCTCCCTCAGATTCGAATTCAAGATTCTATTACAATGATAAGAACAACTAGTAAGATAATAATTTTGTGAACTTTTTTATTCTTTTTGAAACATCTACTTGCTATATTCCCAACATTTCCTGATACTCTCAAGTGCAACAGAAGCGGAACCATAAGCCAAAATGAAACAAACTAGCATCTTTTCCATGTTCAAGCTGCACAGACCAAAGACTTCATCAACCACTAGAGTAACTTTCCATGTGCTGTTCCCTCACCTCCTTCACCAGACAAGCACAGAAGCCCTAAAGCAAGCCTTTAGCATTTCAAAAAATATTTTTCCAAGACAGGATAATATAAAAGAAATACATACTACACAATAAGTAACTCTAATGAGTTACTTTATTGGATTTGAAACATAGACAAATTCGACAGAATTTCCACAGATCACAGTCAGTAACCACAAGTTTTCACCATCAAATAGATGGCAGCATCCAAGTTCCATAAATGCAGATTTGTACTAGGCCCACACAGGCCAGTCACACCAGTAGCAGGAACCTGATCCAGAGCTGATTCAGCTGTGAGCACAGCTTCCTGTTCACATTTTTATCTGTTAACTGTAAAGAAAGTTTCAGAAGAGGTAAAGATCTAGAACAGAAAGGCAATATCCTCCCAAGTCAAACAATAAGTTTGTTCCTTGAGCCTGAAATGTGAGTCCTGCCCAGATCCCACATGTGCATGACAGAAAGTGGTGCAGTGTCCAGTTCCTCTCGTCTATCGAAGGGATATTTTTATTAAAAGAAAAAAGCAGGAAGGAAGAGCAATGGTGCTTTTAAACAGAGTAAAATAAGGCAAGTTCCAGAAGGAACACTATATGGTATGGGGAAAAGTGGGTACCTCCCCAAAACTCCCCAGTGCAATGCCCAAATAAATATGGTCACAATGGGAAGAAAACCCTCACATGGATGAAAACATTGATCACAAAAATAATAAATGCACACCCTAAATTATCCTTTGACAATTCATCTCCTTAGCTGCATTCCCAAAATTGAACTTGTAAGAAAACAAATTATACTTTAGTAGTATTTTCAGTGACTAGAATTCACCAACACTAGCCTTCCTAAAAACTTTCCACTAAAATCAAGGGCCTCCCTGGAAAGAGTTGACCATGCAACGCTCCAAATTCATCCTACACAACTTGAGAGCTTACACAAGGAATTTCTCCTTGTATTCATGCATAGTAAATTTCTTCTCCTTCCTATGAGGATTTTTCAGCTGTACATTCTTCTATATTGCATGCTTTCTTCCATCTTCATGAATGCACAAAATTTAGGTGGCATTCAATTTTTTTCTAACCTTTATCAGAAGACAAAGGAGTGGAAACAAAAAGGAGCAAATAATATAATTTTAAAACTTCATTTAATATCTGCTTGGGTAAGAATTCAATTTGTCCTAAATCTTATTCTGACTGGCTCCCTAAATAAACCATGGTGAAAGCCATCTATGTGAACTCGCTCTGCAACAGGACACCCAAAAAGCACAACTTCCCCTGGGTAGAAGAAACTAGTGTCTGGCTATCAGGCAGTGGGCATGAAATGTGGCCTTGTCAATGACTGCCTTCTCAGCACCAACTACTCTTTTCACTCCATTTAAGAGAACAGAATTCCAAGTCACATGACAACATACGCATATGTAAAAAATGCTATCTGATTCTAAAACAGATACAAAAATAAACAAAATACCTAAACTTCAATTTCTAATATAAATGTCAATGCATACATTTTTTAATTGCCAAAGAATTTTCCATAAGCTCTAAAAGGAAGATGAGTCTGCTTCCTTTTGAAGGCAAGAGATGAAGTAAAAACTGATACGACATAACCTTTCATTTTTTAAAAATCCATTTTAAGGTGATATTGTTGCAATCATAATCCACAACTGTTCCCTGCATATGTCAGACTTCAGAAAAAGATCAGAAAAATTATAATTTGCTCTGGCAAACAGACTCTCAATCAAAACAAGGTTCCACCCACCTTCAAAGCAACCAATAGCTGCCCACCTACCATCCTTCCTAAAACATCCAAACAGAGCTGCTCTCCGGCCCAGGCATTCCATACTAGCCACAAGGCAAGGGGGCGGCCTGCAGGCTTGCTCTGCAGGTCTCGAAGGCAAACAAGCTTGGCAACACACACCCAGCACGACTGAGGTTAAGATTATACTAAGAGCCGAAGAGGTAAGGGAAAGGGAAAGAGGACAGGGACAGAGGGGCCCACAAAGCTTCACATTCTGCATCTGCTGACTGCCTCTCTGGTAGTCCCCATTCTTAGTTCTGATTTTACGCTTCACAATACCACCTACATAGCCAGCCAGGGCTGAATTAAAGGCTCTCAGGAACATGCACTATGAATGATGCAATGATTCATAAACACCTTCAGAAGTGAGAAAGAGCAGCAAAACCCATCACTGTTTCGGTGAGGCCAGGGGAAGATAGCCTACCTGCAGGGGCTGAATGGATCATCCATGACTAACACGGGCTCTGGTGAGTCTAGCTGGATTCCTGAACCTCTACTTTCTGCTAAAACTCTGCCCTTTTCTACTCTAACAACTCAAAATGGAGGCACATGCAGTCTCAGAGACCTCATAGAGCTTTCACTGAGCTTGTGCTATGACCTAAGCCTTCACGCAGAACGCAGAAACTTCCCCTCACACTGACAGGACTGAGCATGTGCTGTGACCCTCCCTCATCCACACACTGTCTCTCCACGACGCAATCAATCTCAACCCTGCTGTTTCCGTAAATAAAGCCCAGCCAACAGACTCTGCAGCTTCTCCCTGCACACCAAGCTAGTGTGCAGGGAAGTGGGGCCTTAGAAAGGGGATCCAAGACAGCCAACAGCAGGGAACTGAGCAAGCCCAGCCATGCAGAGGCTTCAGTTAAATGCCCTGCTCTGTCAGGAACTCAGCAAGAAATGCTTTCTGCTCTGTCAAGACAATAGCAAGTTTTGCCTTTTTTTTTTTTTTAAAGGTAAATGCTGATTTTAAAAAGCATGATCATCAAGAAATAGAATCAAAAGACACAGATATGAATGACTACACACAAGATCAACTAACAGAAATACTGCAACACATTTAAAAACACAGTAATAGCTACTTAAGAGAAGCAACTTCACAAATTTCTCTTTGAAACTCTAAACATTTTGAAAAAGACCAATTAGGGTAAAGTTATGGAGTGCTTGGCCTTGTCACACAGGTACAGACAGAGTGTAGATGGTATTGTGGGCAGGGTAGCTAAAGAAAGCTGTATTTTCTGCAAAGAGCTTAATCTTCCTTAGATAAGATACTAAAAATAATAAATAAAACATTCCCCAAATAATAAATTAAAACATTTCCTAAAGTAATACTAGCCCAATCAAGTCTAGCTTGAAGAATGCAATTCTAACAATTAGAAAGGCAGGAAGGTTTCAAGATTCAACATCGTGCCACAAACACATGAGCATCCAAAAAGCTCATTTGAGGTCCTGATTCAAAATACTAAGGCAGATTCACATAAGAAATCCTAGCTTTGGATGTGCAGGCTTAGTTTCCACTTGCAAACTAAGAGGTGATTCTACAGATTATTAATCAGTTACAAAAAGAAAAAGAAACAGAAGACCATGAACCTCGCCAAAATTATAAAGGACAAGATAGGGCAGGAAAGGGCAGTGTGAATTCTGTTTCCCAGAAATGTAATGGAATGTCAGGAAATTAAAGCCTGTTGAAAAGAACACACAGTGTCCTCAAGATTCCTACAGTAAATGCAGAATCAATTCCATTTCTACAGCACTCCCGTTTATGCTACAAAATAAACTAAATTCTGAAACTATGATTCAGTAAACTCTTATCCTGCCGATAACATAATTTACAAAATACAAGAAATGCCAAGTACACTTAAATATGTTTTCCTTTGACCTAACACGTGAAACAAGTATCTACAGGCTGGAAGAACATTTTCTCTTACTGGTATATGAGACAACATATTCCCAAAACTGCTGTTTCTACAGTCTAGAGAAAAATACTTTCTAAATGCAAAAGTAATGGAATTAGAACCTAGTGGCCAAATAATATGAATATGGGCAGCAAAGAATATCCTCCCAAAAGTGTATGTTAAAAAAAAACTACCTAACCCTTTCATATGGAAATGTTTACTTGAAGAACTCAACACAAAATAATATGTAATAAATTCATCAGTCTCTGAAAATCCATGAAACTATTACATAGAGCACAGTATAAAAACAGTTATTGTAACAGCAAGTTAAGAAATGTGGATTCTGATTTTGGTCTCATTAGACGCCCTGAGTTACCAAAATCCAATGGCCTTCTCCTGTAATAATGGATTCCAATGGTGGTGCCAGCCTTTGTGGACACCCTCTTCATTGTCTTTCCTGGCGCTGGCATCTCACATGCCATGCCACCAAGACAGACAGCCCTTTCTCTTGTCACCTCTCAGGGGCAGCATACCCCAGGGGTCACACCCCAGATCTCTCCTTCACGCTCTCTCTCGTGGAAAAGTCACCCACACTACCACCATGCCAGCCAGCTCCATTCTGAAGACACTTCCTTCCTGGCAGCAGCTCAGAAATGCAGGAGCTCCCGGACTCCTCTCACTGCACCTCTCTGGGGAACCGCACGTCTCTTATTAGATTGTAAGTACTTCAGGGACAAGGACGCCACCTAAATCATCTTTACTGGAACCACCCAACTCTCCTATTTTGTACCTCAAAAAATTCTATCTGAAGCACTGGAAAGGGCACAGTATCACTCATATAGTATGGCTGGCCAAAATTACATAGCCGAGATCTAATTGTGGGGAAACGTCAGACAAATTCAAACTGAAGAACATTTGGCAAAACTGGCTTCTAACTCTTCAAAAAGGTTCATGTCATAAAAAACCTTTAAGAAAGGTGAGGAAACACGTCATGAAAACAAAGACAGACGAGGGATATTAAAGAGACACAACAATTAAATGAGGCTCATGATCATGAGGAAAATTACGATGAAGGCCATTGTTGAAAAAACTGGCAAAATCTGAATATGAACTATATTGGACTATATCATGTTGTATTAATGTTACCTTTTCTGATTTTGATAATCATACCATAGTTATGTAAGACAATTTTCTTGTTCTTGGGAATACACACTAAAGTATTCAGGGGAAAGGGGTGTGATGTCTGTATTTCATTCCCAAATTGTTCAGGAAAGGAAAACACAGATTGAGTAATCCTAATCCCAAAATCCCAAATCAAAAATGTTCCAAAATATGAAGCTTTCTGAGCACCAACATGATGCTCAAAGGAAATACTGGAACGTTTTAGATTTTTGGATTAAGGATACAGAATAATGCAAATATTCTAAAATCCCCTCTCCCCACCAAAACATGAAATCCGAAACACTTCTAATCCCAAGCATTTCATGTAAGGGATAGATTCAATCTGTACCACAGAGAGAGTCATAATGCAAAGATGGTAAACACAGAGAGCAATACAACAAAAAACAGAGATAGAGGTTATCTGATAAGCTATATATGTCTAATAATTTTGTGCATGAAACAAGGTTTTGACTGGGTTTTGATTGTGATCTGTCACAAGAGGACAGGAGTGGAATATTCTACTTGTGGCATCATGTTGGTGCTCAAAGCATTTTGGATTTTGGAGCATTTTAGATTTCGAATTTTCAGATTAGAAATGCTCAATCTATAATAAAGTAAATCTATAATAAAGTTTAAAAGGTAATAAAATAATAAACATAAAGCAAATAAGGCAAAATACTAACAACTGGTGAATTGAGTAAAAGATATATGGAGGTTCTTTCTCGTACTAGTCTCATAACTCCTCTTTGAATTATGAACGTAAAATTCCAAACAGAAAAATTTTAAATACATTAAACAAATGAAAAATACCTCCACCAGCCTCCCCAACCATCAATTCTCTCTCTCTCTCTTTTTTTTTTTTTTTTGAGACGGAGTCTCGCTCTGTCACCCAGGCTAGAGTGCAGTGGTGCAATCTTAGTTCACTGCAAGCTCCACCACCCGAGTTCACGCCATTCTCCTGCCTCAGCCTCCTGAGTAGCTGGGACTACAGGCGCCCGCCACCACATCCGGCTATTTTTGTTTGTTTGTTTGTTTTTAGTAGAGATGGGGTTTCACCGTGTTCACCAGGATGGTCTCAATCTCCTGATCTCGTGATCCGCCCTCCTTGGCCTCCCAAAGTGCTGGGATTACAGGTGTGAGCCACTGTGGCCGGCCACAACCATCAGTTCTCATGGCATCTGGAGAGCTGACAGGAGGGGCAATGAATGACCTGCCTCTCTGCCTGAGGTCACGGTGCTCTCACCCACAAACAGAAGTCAATTAACACCCAGCTCCAAACTCACTCCCATCTCAAGAATATAGGATCAGTACTCAGTACTCCTCCCCCTCCTATTCAGAGAATCTCAAGGAGTCGTGAAACCAAGTAGTTCCATAATTAGGTTAGCCACTAGGTTACATTCAACTACAAATTCCAATTTTAGAAATGGGCCTCTGTTTCCATGGAGCAAGCCTTGCTTTACACCGAGTTCACCCTGGTACCCTACTCAGTGCTTAAGGGCATCCCAGACAGGGGCCTTGTTTTCTCTCCTAGTTCTTTTTACAGGCTACCTGCATACTAATGCTAAGTACCCACCTGGACCTCACTCCTGCCACCACATTTTCGAGCCCATCAACTGCCAGCCTGCAGGATGTACACACCATCTGCACCCTGGCGCCCTCATATTTCCATCTGTTGCCAACTGCCAAGGCCTCCCCAGAAGTCCTGTGATCCCCATGTATATCTATAATCTCTGGATCCTAGACATCCTTCTCTCCTCCTATTAATCTCACATGAACAACAGGTGAAGGATTAGCACTTCTGAATAGATTAAATGAGAGCTGAGTGGGAGAGAAGAATACACAATTCAAATCAATTTTTTCTAAAATTAAAAAAAAAACACTTTGTCCACTATAATACTTAATTTGTATTAAGTAGATTATGTATGCTTATCAAAGGTAAGTAAAAGCTGTAACATGAAAATTGCGTAAGTTTTATCTTAAAGAATTTCCTACTTCCCAGAAATAAAAAATGTCTACAATGTTGTATTCATTAACAAGAAATTTTAAAGCCAAAATGGCGGGGGTGGGGAAAGCAACACTCAGGAAATTCTAGAGAAAAAGACATGGAAGAGATATTCTAATTAGTACTGACTTCACATCAAGAGAGAAGTGTTCAGAAGCAGTTTCTTTAAATTTCATTTACTAATTGCCCCTAAAATCTAGACACGGAACTGAGACACACACACACACACACACACGGCATGACCACACCACACACACACCACCAACCACACACACCACACACACACAAAAACCACACACACACTCCATCCAGGAGCTTCTGAGTTTATTATTAGCTTACATTGGAGGCGGGGCTCCAAATCAATTCCACCCTTTGGGGAGGCCAGGCCGGGTGTGCCCGAGGGTCAGGAGTTTGAGACCAGCCTGCCTACCGAGGTGAAATCCAGCTTTCACTAAAATACAAAATAAGCCAGGATGGTGGCGTGCACCTGTAGTCCTAGCTACTCAGAGTTGAAGTGGGAGGATCGTTTGAGCCTGGGAAGCAGAGGCTGTAGTGAGGCGAGATTGCACCACTGCACTCCAGCCTGGTAACAGAGCAAAGGCCCACCTGAAACAATTGAAAAGAAAAACCAACACAACAACAACAAAATCAATTTGTTCAAAAAGTTTTCTGAGATTTCCTATGGTGAAAATTACACCCTATTAATAAATGTTAACTTTTTTCACTTCCAAATCTCACATATTTTCTTCTCAGTCTTTAATGAATATCAAAAATCTGCCATTGTTCTGGTTTCAGAGAAAAAGTTCCCACACTCTGCCTCTACATGTTACTTGTTGTAAGGTTAATGGTAACGTATTCTGTTAGACTAAGGAAATTCATTCTATAATTAATTTCTGTTCTAGAGTTCGCCCCTTGCATTATTAAAGAACATTGAATTTGATAAGTGCTTCCTCTACATTAAGATAACTGCATGGGATAAAAAAAATAGAATGAATGAATAAGGTCTAGTATTTGATAGTGCAACATGGTGACCACAGTCAATAATAACCTAACGAACATTTAAAAAAAAAAGTGTAATTGGATTGTTTTTAACACAAAGGATAAACGCTTGAGGGGGTGGACACCCCATTTTACCATGATGTGTCTATAATGCATTGCATGCCTGTATCAAAACATCTCATATACCACATACATACACCTACTATGTATCCACAAAAATTAAAAATTAAGAAAAAGATGAGCCAGGCGTGGTGGCTCACGCCTGTAATCCCAGCACTTTGAGAGGCCGAGGCGGGCGGATCACCAGAGGTCGGGAGTTTGAGACCAGCCTGACCAACATGGAGAAACCCTGTCTCTACTAAAAATACAAAAAAATTAGTCAGGCATGGTAGCCCATGCTTGTGATCCCAGCTACTCGGGAGGCTGAGGCAGGAGAACAGCTTGAACCCAGGAGGTAGAGGTTGCAGTGAGCTGACATCAAGCCATTGCACTCCAGCCCAGGCAACAAAAGCTTAACTCTGTCTCCAAAAAAAAAAAAGAAAAAGATGATTGCCTATGTTTTCTTCTTCCATATGCTGAAGAGGTAAAACATGCTAACAGATAAATTATTATTAAGCCTTTCTTATATTCTATAAATTTGGACATGCATATTTTACCTTGCTAGACTCCCGTTTGTCAACATTTCATTTAAACATTTTATATTCATGTTCGTAAGATGGAACCTATACATTTTATTTTATTTTTTACCTGGTTTTAGTGTAAAGGTTTTATCAGCTTCATAAAATGACTCAGGGTACCCATACCAACTTTCTCTGTTCTCTGGAACACTGGTAGAACTCACCTGTAAAGTATGTGTCTGATTTCTTTTTCTTTTTTTCTTTCTCTTCTTTTGTGGGGGTTGGGGGAGGGGGGAGACAGAGTTTTGCTCGTTACCTAGACTGGACTGCAATGGCACAATCTCGGCTCACTGCAACCTCCGCCTCCTGGGTTCAATCGATTCTCCTGCCTTGGCCTCCCAAGTAGCTGGGATTACAGGTGTGCACCACCATGCCCAGCTAAATTATTATTTAAAAAAAAAAAAAATTTTTTTTTTGAGATGGAATTTTGCTCTTGTTGCCCAGGCTGGAGTGCAATGGCACAATCTTGGCTCACTGCAACCTCAGCCTCCTGGGTTCAAGCAATTCTCCTGCCTCAGCCTCCTGAGTAGCTGGGGTTACAGGCACACACCACCACACCTGGCTAATTTTTTGTATTTTTAGTAGAGATGGGGTTTCTCATGTTGGCCAGGCTGGTCTTGAACTCCTGACCTCAGGTGATCCACGTGCCTTGGCCTCCCAAAGTGGTGGGATTACAGGCATGAGCCACCAAGCCCGACCTGATTTATTTTTCTTTTTGGTCCGAGATAAAAAAATATTATCCTATGCAAATTATAAAAACTACCTTTAAAGGAAGAAGGTATGTAGTTTTTACCTATTTCCTCTTTTTTCCAGGCTGAAATTTGGATGTAATGGCCACCACTACATTGCCACCTTGAAACAAGAGAACAGCTGCAGCCAAGGTAGTAGAGGGTGGACCCCTGATGACTGTGAGGTGCTAGTCTAGGAGTGTTTCCTTTCAAACTCTGCTTACATGAGAGAGAAATAAAAGTGACATTTTATTTAAGCCTTTTACACAGTCTGTTTCTGAAGTTTCCAGTATTTGAAGTTCTTGGGTATAGATCTAGCTGTTTGTCTCATCTGACCATAGTTAACGGCACATGGTTTCTTCCAGTATTTCTGATGGTGAGCTCAGCATTCAAGGATATTTTATCTGTGGGGATCCTATAGGATCTTGGATGAGGGTGTGACCCACCAAAAAAATTTTACATATGCTTCTGCCAGGTATCTTGAGGGGTTTACTGGCATGAGACCACTTTTTCTTTTTTTTTCTTTTGAGACAGAGTCTGGCTCTGTCCCCCAGGCTGGAGTGCAGTGGCGTGATCTCGGATCACTGCAACCTCCGCTCCCAGGTTCATGCCATTCTCCTGCCTCAGCCTCCCAAGTAGCTGGGACTACAGGCGCCCGCCACCACACCCGGCTAATTTTTTGTATTTTTAGTAGAGACGGGGTTTCACCGTGTTAGCCAGGATGGTCTCAACCTCCTGACTTCGTGATCCGCCCGCCTCGGCCTCCCAAAGTGCTGGGATTACAGGCATGAGCCACCGTGCCTGGCCGAGACTACTTTTTATATTGTCTTCTTATTCTAGAATTCTCGTATTTTAGAGGGCCCAGAATCCCAACTCTAAACAGATGGGTTTCCCTGTTACTCCCTTCTAGGTTGGAAAATGTTAATGAACTCAATCCAGCCTCACCATGAGCTACTGAAGGATCAGCTTACTGCTTTAGTTTTCAGTTTCTCTTAATTCTCCGGAGCTCAGTCCTGCAGTTATGTGTTATTCCAGTGTTCCAGATAACATTCCTAGATGCTATCTGACAAAGGGTTTTTGAAATGATCAAAGGGTTTTTGAAATGATCAAATCAAATGACCAAATGAAAAATAGGCTTTTGTCCTGTTTTATTAAAGTTCTCTTAACTTCAGTAGGCTGCGTTTTCTAAACATACATGTACTCTCAACTGTCTCCAATATTTGCATCTCAGGTAAATGTTTTTGAGAATTCAAATGTGATGGCAGACAAAAGCAAACAGGAAAAAGATTGTATCCAGCTCTAGCTGCTCATCCTCAAAAGCTACACAAAGACCACTAGCTGTGGTGAGTGGAAAAGGGAACTGTTACTCAAATGAACGTAAATTTTAGAATGTCTCAAATTTGAATTAGTTGAAATACAGGTGTT